TTCCTGCTGCAAACTCTGAAAGTAAAACGATTATATAGAATTCAAATAAGATAACTGCACTTAACTTTTATCTTTGTTAAAGGTAGAATCTCATAATTCTAACACTCCTCCTTGAGACTTGCCTTGAACAAACCAAGTTTCATCCTTAGAAATTCCAGCCTTGATCTAGGAAGAGCTTTAGTCATTATAACTGGAAGTTGAACATCTGTTGGACAATGATATGGCTTTATAAGCAGATTCTTCCCAGCTTCTCTTATAGAGTAAAATTTCACTAATGTGCTTGGTTCTGCCATGTTGAACCGGATTTAGAGAAATGAAAATAGCAGATTTGTTATCACAAAAAAGCTTAGTTGGTGAGCTTTGTTCTCCACCCAAATCAGCAGGCAACTTGTTCAACCAAATTACTTGATTTGCAATAGCTACCATTAAGATATATTCTGCTTCTGCAGTTGATTGTATCACCACCTCTTACTTATTTGCATTCCAACATATTACACCTGAACCAATGTTGAAAACATACCTAGAGGTGCTTTTTATGTCATAAACACTCCCTGTCCAGTCACTATCTACATAACCAATTAGTTTCACTCATCCTGTCTTTGAGTACCCGATACCAAGATCAGTTGTTCCTCTAATGTACTTCAACACCTTTTTAGCAATTTCCATGTGAATATTGCTAGGTGAGCTCATGAAAGTTGATAGCAAACCAGTTGGAAACATCAAGTCAGGTCTAGTTGCTATCAAGTATAGTAGACTACCCACTAAGCTTCTAAATGCAGAGGGATCTTCAAGTTTCTTACCATTATTTTTTGAAATCTTCTCATTTTATGCCAAAGGAGTTACTACTTCTTTGCATGACTCAAGTTTGAATTTCTTGAGTATAACAACAATATCCTTTGTGAAACAAAAATACCCGAGCTACATTGATGTATTTCCATTCCAAGAAAGTAGTTCATAATGCCAAGATCAGACATTTCAAAAACATCTTGCATTTCCGTTTTGAACGCTTCCAACAACTTTGCATTGCTTCCAATAACTAGCATATCGTCTATATAGAGTGATATCACTAGGTACAAACCATCTTCATCTTGTTTCAGATACAAAGTAGCTTCATTTTCACTTCTCTTGAATCCCAATTGAATCAAATGAGTGTTAATTTTGCTGTACCAGGCCATTGGTGCTTACTTCAAGCCATAAACAGCCTTGTGTAGCTTGTATACCTTGTGTTCATTACCAGCAACTACAAAGCCTTCTGGTTGCTGAACATAAATTTCTTCAAGGAGTATTCCATTTAGAAAGGCAGACTTAACATCTAAATGATATACTCTCCATTCTTTTTGACATGTAAGAGCAAATAGGAGTCTTATAATGTCATGCCTAGCTACTGGCACAAAAGTATAACCATAGTCCACTCTAGCAATTTGAGCAAAGCCTTTAACAATCAGTCTAGCCTTGTGCTTAAAGATTGAACCATCTGGATTGAATTTGGTTCTGAAGACCCACTTCACACCAATTTCTTTTTTATCTTTAGGAAGTTCAATTAATCTGCAAGTTCCATTTCTTTCAATGGAATCAATTTCTAATTTTATTGCTTCAATCCAAGCTGGAACTCCTGCAACTTCAGTGTAGTTTGTAGACTCAGCATGTACAAGATTACATCTTTCATACACATCAGACAATGGCCTTACTTTAAGTACTGTTGTATCTGAAATTGCTTCAATGTCTGGTTGAACTTCAACACCAATACTTCTTATTGCTGGTTCAAGTGCAGCTTTTCTTTTCTAATCAACTCCCTTTAAGTCCCAATTCCAGTGAGAATTTGACACGACTAAAAGATTGATGTCTTCTCCCAAGTGCAGGAGTGTCGAAGTAATAAATAACCCGGCAAGACCGGGGTCGAACCACAGGGAGGTTAATTGTACAAATTATAAATAACAATAATACAACAACAATAACAATAACAATAACAAGAATAATAATAATAACAATAACAATAACAATAACAATAATAATAATAATAATAATAATAATAATAATAGTAGTAGTAGTAGTAGTAGTAGTAGTAGTAATAGTAGTAGTAGTAGTAATAATAATAATAATAAAGAAAGAGAAGAAGAAGAAGATGATAAGAACTTGGAGATGGAAAATAAGATGAAATATTAACGTAATTAATGTAAGGATTAAACAATAATAATAACAAATGTCAAGGTTAGAGGTTCCACTAATGGTATATCAAACAAGTATAGTATAAACTCTTATTATTGAATTGGAAACCACACACAAAGGAGGTTCCAATCAGATTATATATTGTTAACATGATTACATTAGTCATCTTATTCAATTAATGCTAATACTTGTAAATCTTGTCAAGCATTCATGATTATAACTTATGTTAACAACAAATCAAGTTCCTTTCATAGCTCAGGTGTCGGTTATACCATACATTATGGGCTATGAAAGTGCCAAGCATTTGTTGTACCAAGTGTTATACAACATAAATCAAGATTAGTCATTTAACAAGCAAAGTATTAAAGAGTGAACAAGATAACAAATATAAAACATGTTAGTATCAAACATTAAAGTCCATATTAAGTTTACATTATACTTATTCTTACACCATTAGTGTAACCTTTTCATCTTGACATAATTAACTTAGCTAGACATAATGAAAGAAAGCAAAATAGATAAACAAAATAAGAACATAAAAGTTAACTAAGTAAAGGAAAGGAAATGAAAGGCATAAACTTGATATTAATGAAAGTAAAGTATAAACATTACAAAAAATATAAAGAGAGAAAGGAAGAGCATGATCTTGATCTGGAAACCAAGATGCCTAAATGCATGGCAAATGCCTCCTTTTATAGGCCAAAATTGGGAACTATTGATTTGATGACTAATTGATAAGTGGGTGGCCAACTTTTGACTTGGTGACAATCTTTATCTTCTCTTGTCTGCCCAAAACGACATTGATAACCTGCCTAAAACGTCATTGATAACGTCAAAATTGGAGCCAGTTGTAAACATGAAAGTTGTAGGCAATTGTTTCAGATTTCTTGTGTAAAACCTTCAGCTCATTTAGACTTCTAGAAATCCAGATATGGCCAAAATACCGAACAGTGCTCGAGCTGGAAGACAGATTCGGGCTTCTTTGTTGTTGCTACAATTTGGACTTGATAATGGCCTTTTCAGATCTTGGACTCCATATGAAAGTTGTAGGCCTATGTCTTACCTTTCCATCCATATAAATTGGACCTAAATCTGAGATCTGTAGCTCCAGATATGACCCAATTACCGAACAGTGTTCCGGTTTGGATTGCACCGACATCTCTTCTCTAAGTTTGACCATCTCTTTATCCTTGCAATTTAAGTTCTTCAAGTCATCAATCAATCCTTTCATTTATGTGATAGGCCTGCATTTAAAATGAACATTTACCATAAATTAAAGGTATCTTATATTATTAGATATATTATTATAAAACATGCTTTAGTTAAGGAGTTATTGATACTTCAAGTGCAAAATGATGATATAAAACCATGATAAAAATGCACTTTAAGGAGTTATTGATACTTCAAGTGCAAAATGATGATATAAAACCATGATAAAAATGCACTTTTAAGTACTAATCACACCCCTCAACCAGCTTATTACTAGTCCCTAGTAATCAAAGCGTTAAAACAATTTGCAAATTTCACAAAGCAAGGTATTCATCATTTAACTTCCATTAATCTATCCAGATAAACAAACTCTCATTAAATTTATATATCTGCTTAATACCACTTAACAAGATATTAATAAACCTTTCTTTTGTGCTCAATGTATCAACACATAATTATGGGGCTTTTCTTGGAAGAAAACAAAATTTTTGTTCTAATGTTTAAGGTTAACTTCCTTGGGTTGGGATTACTATTTTTGTCTTTTTTTTTCGTTTTTTTTTTTTTAAATCTATATACATATAATTTAAAAATATCATGCATCTTTAACCCATGTAACGAGCTTTCAGCTAATGACTCCCAGACCAGTTGGTCTTAGGGCATTAGGTGTTAAGACACCCCGACGAGCTTAGTAACTCGGGTCGCAGATACTGATATGTAGATAGTGCAATGTTTGATTTCCTTAAGCTTTTTTCCTCAACCCATGTAACAAGCATTGGGCCAATAGCTCCCAAGTCAGTTAACTTTAGGGTATTAGGTGTTAAAACACCCCTTCGGGCTTAATTGCTTAGGTTAGGGAGGCTACGAAACCAAACTTATCTACATTTTTATTATCATCATTTTTTCTTTTTCTTTCCTTTTTCTTTCATGTTTTTTTTCTTAATTATATACAATCCCTTTTCCTTAGTTGTTACGTTTAACAAAAGAACATAAATAATGTAATAATCCAATATGCAACCCACAATCATATGTTAAAGTGTGTGTGTGTAAATTAAGGTTTAAGAATACATGTTAAATAAGTATGTGAGCAGAATTAAGTGATAACAATGCGAAAGTTTGTAAATCTGAATATTTCAGGAAGTATTATAATAGACCTTGTTAAGAATGGTTACTAAGATGCGTCTCAAGAGTCACTTTAACAAAAGAGCTCCTTTACTCTACCATCCTAGTAACAACAATTATGCACATGCTTTATGAAATGAAAAACAAAATTATTTTTTTTATCAACTACTACCCTCTCCCCCCAACCAAAACGAGACATTGTCCTCAATGTTTTAAGGTAGAAAGATAGAGTATAGAAGATATCACCTGAAATAACGAACACCGACAAACCTGAAACACACTAAAACAAAAATAAGAAATAACAAAACACAATAATAAAACCAAAAGACACAAAAAATCACAAATGAAGGCTCAAATCCAATCTAAGCTTTTTATGGCTTTCCTTAGATGACCAATTTATGCGACTCATGGAAGGATCAATCACAGGAATGAAAGATTGTAGTTGGTCAATCAATTGTTCAGCAGTAGCAACAGAGATTATGATTTGTCGTGCAGAAGATGTTAGAACTTCCTGTTCCACAGCGTGATCAAGAAAAGACAACAATTTATCATAATAACCATTAACATTTAACAAACCTATGGGTTTATGGTGAATGTGCAGTTGAGCCCAAGAGGAAATATGAAAGATCTCTTCCAATGTGCCTAGACCACCTGGTAAAGCAATGAAGGCATCAGCATGGTTAAACATTGCATTCATTCGAGCTGACATTGTGGAGACCTGAAGCTCCTCTCCAATTGTTTTTCCAATGATGTCCCCTTGTGCCAAAGCTTCAGGGACGACCCCCAAAACTTGACTACCTCCTAAAAATGCAGCTATTGACACACCTCCCATTAACCCAAGACTGCCTCCCCCATACACTAAATGAATCTTTCTCTCAGCTAGCACCTGACCAAGATGATTTGCTGATTCTAAAAACTCCTTTTCTTTCCCAGGACTAGATCCACCGAAAACACAAATATTTCTTATTTGATGACTTGAGGAACTTGCCATTTCTACACACTTCTGTATTTGTTGAATGTATGGGTTGAGTAGAAATGAAAGGAAGGAAAAAAGGGTTTTATAGATGAGAAATGAGAAAGGCAATCATAACACCTATATGTAGGCCAGCTGGAGTCTCACACACACTCTCTCTCTTTTTATTTATTTATTTATTTACTTTTGAAAAAAAAAACATGTGTATGTACAGGTAGTTGTGATTGTGGCTCACATCTTCCCTTGGTTTTACGTCCAAGAACGGCTTAAACGCCCTCTATGGGTCGGGGATAGGCTTCCCATCCAGTTTTTTTAAAAACTAGCAAACAGGGTCTTTTTTAGTCAGATTCCCAAGACTAAGTCGATCATGTTCTTTATGAAATAGTGGCCATAAATCATGAATTGCACGATGCACATCTCCACTAGAATGCGTCTCAAGAGTCAATAGAAGATTATCTAAAGACTCCTTACCCAGGCCATCCTTAATGAATTGTATTTTATCTTCACGGTTTATAGATACCATTCCTAAAGAACGACATTGTGTATTACAAGTCCATCTAGCACATCGATGGCAGACTTCTAGTCGTTTTGCACGACGTTTCTTTGCAAAAGTGCTTTTACCTGTTCCAGGCATGTGTGAAATAAAAAAATTAGAGGACTCACCTGATAATCGGACCTTTGCTTCAATCAACCAGCGAATATCTTCAGGAATTCCATGATTCATTAACAATCTCAATCTTGCACATCTAGCACAGTAAATTTTTGTGATCGCATTCTGAGGCAGAGCGGGAAAATACTTTTTCAATTTTTCAAGATTAGTGTCCATTTTCAAATGAGAATTGGAAGAGAGATTCAAAGAATTGCATAAATATATACACAAATATCAGTAATTGTGGGAAATTGAAAGACCGACTTAAGTCACGGAGTACCGTTATCCGCCATTTGACCGGGGTGAGATAAACTAGCAAAAATCACTCAAAAAGAAACACAAAAACAATGTGAGAGAAAAATAATAATCAACCTTTATCTACAAAATCATTCAAACCAGTTGATTCATTTTCATTAAGAAAATTATCAAAGTGAGCTTTCAAACGATGTCTATTTTCCTTAAAATCATTGTCATTCATTGAATTCTCAATATCACAGACCCCATAAGGATTGCTCCATCTTAGTCTTAGCTCTCTAGGAAATGCATAGAGTTGAGAATTATAAAACAAAACTTTTTGACCAGTATCAATCTTTTGACAATTTTCACAAGTTTTGCAGAATGCATGCATGTCCTTGAACATGGTGGGCCAACAAAATCCATTTTGAAAGATTTTTGCAATTGTCTTTTTTGACGAGAAACAACTTCCACATGCTTCAGAATGACAAAGTTTAATGACACTACTTACCTCATTGTCGGGAATGAATCTTTGAAATATTTGATCGAAACAATATTTGAATAAGTTAAGGTCATCACAATAAAAGCTCTTCACTTCGTTCAAAAACTTTTCTTTGTCTTGGGTACTCCAATCAGCTGGCAAATCTCCTAAAACAAGAAAATTGATATTTTTATCATACCAAGGTATTGGACTGAGAGAAAGTAAGGATTCGTTAGGAAAGTAATCATCCATTGGTGTGATGTTAGATGTAGAATTTGTTGTCACTGTTGACAAAAGATTCACATCAACATTTTCTGTGCTTTTTTCATCCGTGATTTCTTCCTCAGAATAAATCATTTGCAAATCTTCAGTTTCATCCAATTCATTTTTACTTAAAGTAGATTCAAGTTGATCATAAACTAATTCGTCAATATGATCTAATTCTTGTAAATCATTATCATCTCCAGGTTGCTTGCAAATGTTGAAAATATTCATCTCCAATGTCATGTTTCCAAATGACAGCTTCATCAGTCCATTCCTACAATTAATCAATGCGTTAGAGGTTGCAAGAAACGGACGTCCTAAAATAACAGGAAATGAATTACATGCTTCAACAGGTTCCGTGTCCAAGACAATAAAATTCACAGGATAAATGAATTTATCGACTTGTACTAACACATCTTCAATTATTCCTCTAGGCACTTTTACAGATCTATCGGCAAGTAAAAGAGATATCGAAGTTGGTTTTAACTCACCTAGATTGAGACTTTGAAAAACTGAATATGGAAGTAAATTCACACTAGCACCAAGATCAAGTAAGGCTTTTTCAATTTTATGGTCTCCAATAAAGCAAGAAATTGTAGGACAACCAGGGTCTTTATATTTCAAAGCATTATTGTTCTGAAGAATAGCACTTACTTGTTCGGCTAGAAAGGCTTTCTTTTTCACATTCAGTTTCCTCTTCACAGTGCATAGATCTTTCAAAAATTTAGCATAGGAAGGAATCTGTTTAATAGCATCCAACAAAGGTATATTGATCCTTACCTGTTTGAAAATTTCAAAAATTTCAGAGTTGTGATTGACTTTCCTTTGTTTGGTCATGGCTTAAGGAAATGGAAGTGCTGGAGGTGAATCAGTCGTTTCTTTGCAATTTTCAGATTCACCCCCTTCCTTACCCTCAGAGATTGACTCATCATCTTTCTCATAAGGTTCAAGAGAGGGTTTTTCAATAACCTTACCACTGCGCAGAGTAGTGACTGATTTGACTTGATCCATGTGTTGGTTTCCGGAACTACTTGCATTTGCATTGTATTGCCCCTTGGGATTTTGTTGTGGTTGAGATGGAAACTTACCTTTCTCTTGGAAATTGAGAGCAGATGTTAATTTTACAAGAGTATCTTTAAAATCTGTCATGTTTTGAGCAAGTTGAGTATTGATTGTCTCTTGCTTTTCAATGAATGCATGCAATGTTTCCTCAAGATTTCTTCTAAGAGGTGGAGCATAAGGAGGTGTATATCCATGAGAATTTTGGAAATTGTGGTGTGCTTGAAACGGTGGTTGTGAAGTTTGTGCATTGTTGTTCTCACTCTTCCAATTAAAATTTGGGTGATTTCTCCAACTAGGGTTGTATGTTTGGGAGTATGGGTTGTGGTTGGCCCTTTGGAAACTGTTTAAAGCATGGGCTTGTTCATGGAGACATTCCTTAAAAGAAGGCAAGGTTGGACAATTACTGGTTGAGTGTTCATTTGTTTCACAGATTTGACACACAATGTTTTTAATAGATTTTAATTGACCACTCTTTTTCAATTCTAGTACCTCGACTTTTCTAGTTAAAGATGCAAACTTGGCTTGAAGGTCATGATCTTCCCTAAGGTTGTACATACCTCCACTAGATGTATGAGGTTGAGTTTTACTCGGTGCCTCATAAGTACCCGCGGTGTTCCAATTTTGAGCATTTTCAACTAACAAGTCTAAGTACTCCATTGCTTCATCAGGGTCTTTATCTTCAAAAGTTACATTGCACATCAATTCAACCATTTGCCTATCTTTAGGTGTTAACCCTTCATAGAAATGTGAAACCAATCTCCATGTTTCAAAACCATGATGAGGGCAAGTACTAAGCAAGTCTCGATACTTATCCCAACATTGGTAAAATGTTTCTCCTGGTTTTTGAGTGAAAGTGGTGATTTGTCTCTTGAAAGAGTTTGTTCTATGAGATGGGAAAAACTTCTTTAAAAATTGTTGTTGCATTTCATCCCAAGCACGAATGGATCCTGGTCTTAAATTTTATAGCCATGTTTTAGCTTTATCTTTTAATGAAAAAGGAAAGAGCTTTAATCTGATGGTGTTCATGCTACAATTTAAATTATTATATGTGTTGCAGACCTCCTCAAATTCCCTTAAATGCAAGTATGGATTTTCCAATTCTAAGCCATGAAAAGAAGGTAAAAGTTGAATAATACCTGGTTTAAAATTAAAATGAGATGCATCAGGAGGAAAAACTATGCATGATGGTGCACTTGTTCTTGTGGGATTCATGTGGTCTCTAAGTGTTCTAGCACGGTTATTCTCATTATTTTCATTATGAAGTGATTGATTATCTTCTTCAGCCATATTTTCTGAAAATGATGAGGATACCCTACAAAGTCTACCACTTGATGTACGTGACCACACTCTCATGCACGTGTAGGAATAAAATAAAAAAAAAAGAAGAAAATAAAAGAAGAAGAAACAAGAGAAAAGAAACAAAGTTATATACAAGAAAAGTGAAAAGAGAAAATAAAATAAATATTATAATTTATACAAGAACTTACCTCCCCGGTAATGGCGCCAAAAACTTGACACGACTAAAAGATTGATGTCTTCTCCCAAGTGCAGGAGTGTCGAAGTAATAAATAATCCGGCAAGACCGGGGTCGAACCACAGGGAGGTTAATTGTACAAATTATAAATAACAATAATACAACAACAATAACAATAATAATAACAACAATAATAATAATAACAATAATAATAATAATAATAATAATAATAATAATAATAATAATAATAAAGAAAGAGAAGAAGAAGAAGATGATAAGAACTTGGAGATGGAAAATTAATGTAAGGATTAAACAATAATAATAACAAATGTCAAGGTTAGAGGTTCCACTAATGGTATATCAAACAAGTATAGTATAAACTCTTATTATTGAATTGGAAACCACACACAAAGGAGGTTCCAATCAGATTATATATTGTTAACATGATTACATTAATCATCTTATTCAATTAATGCTAATACTTGTAAATCTCGTCAAGCATTCATGATTATAACTTATGTTAACAACAAATCAAGTTCCTTTCATAGCTCAGGTGTCGGTTATACCATACATTATGGGCTATGAAAGTGCCAAGCATTTGTTGTACCAAGTGTTATACAACATAAATCAAGATTAGTCATTTAACAAGCAAAGTATTAAAGAGTGAACAAGATAACAAATATAAAACATGTTAGTATCAAACATTAAAGTCCATATTAAGTTTACATTATACTTATTCTTACACCATTAGTGTAACCTTTTCACCTTGACATAATTAACTTAGCTAGACATAATGAAAGAAAGCAAAATAGATAAACAAAATAAGAACATAAAAGTTAACTAAGTAAAGGAAAGGAAATGAAAGGCATAAACTTGATATTAATGAAAGTAAAGTATAAACATTACAAAAAATATAAAGAGAGAAAGGAAGAGCATGATCTTGATCTGGAAACCAAGATGCCTAAATGCATGGCAAATGCCTCCTTTTATAGGCCAAAATTGGGAACTATTGATTTGATGACTAATTGATAAGTGGGTGGCCAACTTTTGACTTGGTGACAATCTTTATCTTCTCTTGTCTGCCCAAAACGTCATTGATAACGTCAAAATTGGAGCCAGTTGTAAACATGAAAGTTGTAGACAATTGTCTCAGCTTTCTTGTGTAAACAATTCAGCTCATTTGGACTTCTAGAACTCCAGATATGGCCAAAATACCAAACAGTGCTCGGGCTGGAAGACAGATTCGGGCTTCTTTGTTGTTGCTACAATTTGGACTTGATAATGGCCTTTTTAGATCTTGGGCTCCATATACAAGTTGTAGGCCTATGTCTTACCTTTCCATCCATATAAATTGGACCTAAATCTGAGATCTGTAGCTCCAGATATGACCCAATTACCGAACAGTGTTCCGGTTTGGATTGCACCGACATCTCTTCTCTAAGCACTTTTAAGTACTAATCAGAATTCTCATCAAAATGCACATCTCTGCTGATCTGAATTTTAGCTGCGTTCAGATTGTATATTCTGTAACCTTTTGATTCTGTCACATATCCCACAAGAATTCCTTTCTCTGTTCTTTCATCTAGTTTCCTTCTTTTAGCAGATGACATAAGAAAGTAGCACAATGATCCAAACACTTTGAGATGTTTAGCAGTAGGCCGGAAACCTGACCATGCTTCCAATGGTGTTTTGCTTTGAATAGACTTAGTTGGAAGTTTATTAAGCAAATATACGTAATTATTTACTACTTCTGCCTATAGAAACCTTGGCAACTTCTTTTCAAACAAAATACATCTGGATATCTTTATCATAGTCTTGTTTTTCCTTTCAGAAACTCTTTTATACTGTGGAGAGTATGGAACTATCAGCTGGTGTACAATCCCAACTTCTAAACAAAAAGCCTTGAACTCCTTCAAAATATACTCTCCTTCATTATCAGTTCTCAACACCTTGATCTTCTGACCACTTTGAGTCTAGCTATGCTCTTGAAGTTTTTGAATATTAATAGTGCTTGTGACTTGGTTTTCAGAAAATAAACCCAAGTTATTCTACTGAAGTCATCAATGAATAATATAAAGTACATATTATTGCTCAAAGAGGCTATGCTCATTGGTCCACATATGTCTGAATGGACTAACTCTAGTTTGTGAATTACTCTTTTAGATATACCTTTGGGAAATGGTTGTCGGTGTTGCTTTCTCAGTTCACAGCTTCCACATTTTTTGGCAGTAACATGAATTTTAGACATGTTTTCTACCATACTAGTATCATTCAACAACTTTAATGATTTGAGATTATAGTGACTAAATCTTTTGTGCCAAAGAATGCTTTCATTAATCTTAGCACTAAACACATGCCCTTTAACAGCATCAAGCTTCAAATAGAAGCTATTACCATCCATTTTGATTTTTGCTATCTATGAATCATGTGTATCAGTGATAAAGCAAAATCTCTCTTTAAAAGAGACTTCATAACCATTCCTAAGCATTTGTGTAACACTAAGGAGATTTTGATCTAATACTGGAAAGTCAAGAACATTTGTGGTGGTTTTAATACCTCTATTTGTGCTAACCGCAATAGTGCCTTTTTCTTTAGCCTACACAATATCTCCATTTCCCAACTTGATTTTTGGTTGAACTAATCTGTTAATAGAAGAAAAGATTGATAGAAACTTAGACATGGTGACTAGTGCAACCACTATCTAGAAGCCATGTATTTAGCTCAAAAGTATTGCTAGCTTGTGATGCCATAAACAGATGCTCCTCATCATCTTTGTCTTTTTCAAAAACATTTGCTTGTTGTTGTATTTGTTGTTGAGATTGTTTCTTCTTGATTCTGTAAAATTTCTCACTATGGCCAAGATTATTCCAGAACATACACTGGAGAGAAGGTTTACCCTTAAACTAGCAATTTTTCTCAGCATGATTAGTTCTTCTGTAATAAAAGCACGACAAGAAAATATTTCTTAAAGGTATTCTTGTTTTTCCTTTAGAAAACTTGACAAGTTTTTTTCTTGGCAGGTTACCAGCACTCCTTCCCTTGTTGCTTGCTTGGAAAGCACCTTCAACAGCCTCATCATCTCTCATATGAACTATTTACTCCTGTACATGAAGTTTGCCAATTAACTCTACAATAGTAAGATTTTACAAATCGCAAGATTCTTCTATTGCAGAGATCTTGGCTTCAAACTTTATGGGACTGATATCATAAGTTTTTCTACTACCTTATAATCTTCAAATGCATTTCCAAGAAGTCTCATTTGATTTACAACATTCATTAATCTACCAGAATAATCTTTGACAGATTCATTTTCTTTCATCTTCTTCAACTCAAATTCTCTTTTAAATGCAAGAAGCTTAACTACTTTAACTTTGTTGCTCCCTTTAAATTCAACTTGGAGATTATCCCATACTTGTTTTGGTGTTTCCAGATTCATTATTTTGGTGAAAATATGATCTACAAGTCCAGAATATAGGCAAGTAATGGCTTTGTCCTTCTTGAGTTTGTCTTCTTCATGTGCTTTCATTTGAGCGATTGTGAGATTTGCATTCAATGGTGGTGGATTAGAATCAGTAACCACAACATTCCATAAGCATCGAGATCTTAAATAAAATCTCATTTTGACAACTCAAATATAATAGAGTTCACCACTAAACATTGGAATTGCAGATGCAATATTGCTTAAAGTAAATATTGAAAACATAAAAATAATAACTCACTAATATTTTTGCCCACCCTTTCTCTGTGTTTAGCACTCATAATACTTGCCGCACAGCCCATAAGATATAATGCTTTGATATCACTGATAGAAATCTTAAGTTCCAGAAACACTGTTTTGAGTATAGAACAATAGATACTTAAAAGCAAAGTTGAGTATAAAGATCAATATATTTTATTAATTTCAAATGCCTATATATAAGCTTACATAGAACTTGGAATGAATTAAAACTCTTAACAACCTTGAGAGATTATTGCTTTTGAAATCATAAACTTAGCAGAAAATTCCTGCT